GGCACTCGATGTATTTAAGCCCTCCCCCCCGGAGTTCGCCACTTACCACCCCGTTAAGGGCAGGCAACCCTGCATCCCCACTGACAACGCTCTCCCCAAGGCTACAGGATGTGCATTCCAACTTCTCAATGCGGATGCCAAGGTGCTGCGAGCCCGTCCGGCCCACCGTATCTCATTTTCGTCCATTGCTGTTGTTGTTGTTGCATGTTGTTCTCTCTTATACAGGCTGTTTCTAAGCCCTTCCAGCTAAAGTTCTGTGGGATATATCACTGATGGGTGGGTAGCCCCATCTATCTGTCGGGGGCAAGCTGTAAACGAATTTCAGCAATAACTTTGTGACTCTGGTGCAAACCAACACAGTTTCCCAGCTGAAAATGTGTCATGGGATAAACCAGTCCGCAAAGGACAGCGTTTTCACAACGCCGTAGCGTTAGTGCCATATGACTTAGTCCCATCATAACGTCACAGCATCGCTACCCAGAATGCAGTAATGCAGGGCTTGTTTACAAACGTACTGCGATATCGGCTTTGTCCAAAATTTTTAATTCCAGAAAATGCCCAATGAAGAATGGAACGTTGAGGACTATAAGTAATACCAGGCCATGCAATTTGTATCATCATTTATCAATGTATATCATTTATATCAATTTATATCATTTATATCAATATATATCATCTTTGTATCATGAGATGTGGTGTCATCTTCAACGGCCAGCGAGAAGAAGCGGGAGCTGTCACCAGATTTATCCAGAAAGCATCCGAAAAGCTCATCAATGCTAAGACCGCTCTGGTGTTGAACAAAACATGAATAAAGCACAATCTGTTTTGCGCATGTTTATCAATATAAAGAACCTGTGCTCGCTAAAGCTAAAGGTAAGGTAAGCTAAAGAACCTGTGCTCGCTGTATGTCTTAGTCATCGCCCCGATTCGCCGTTTTGCCTCACTCAGACTGATAGGGAAAAGGGAATTGATGCGAACCTCCCTCGGCGTTTCCAAGGTTATAAAGACACAGCTTGCCGACAACACCAATATATCGTTCTGAACACGATGTCACGATTGGTACTAGTTTCTATGTTGTTGACAGGTCAAAGATATAATTTCCCAGAAAACTGCACTTTGTAGCTTTATTTTGTGTTTACAATAACAAAGTGAAGTAAGCGAAGTGATCATATAAGAAATCCTTGCCCTGCGGCCCGGGTCCGCATGACCGGTATTATTTGCGCATAATCGATATTACAAAAACTGATGTAGGTAGGTAAAAGGTCTGTGTAAGAACAAGCACGAGAAAAATTTGTTACGCTGTTCAGTGCATTAACGAGGAGCATTGTTCACATAGATAAGACAACAATAGTATTAGCCTTATTGCTCGGAGAAAAAAAAACAGGAGAATGGAGATGTAGTTGGGTTGATATTTCGGCAGGATGCCTTTATCTAGACAGTAGCAGAAGTGAATTTGAAATTACTTGCCGATGATGCTACTCGATTTTTCAGGTTTTTTTAAACATCAAGCCACAATTTTTGCAAGACACCAACATTTAGGGGATTAGGCAAAGAGCGGTTGTCGGCCATTACCACGATAGAATGCTTATCTAAGAATTATAATGCGCGAACATACGCGTACATGCAAACGAATCTAAGCAAATGGGCATCACGCGTCTCGCTTCATTCAAACGTGCAAGCAAACTGAAGTGAACAGGCATCACACATCGCCCATCTGTTATGCATGCAAGCGATTTCAGTTGAACAGGCATCGCACATCACGCGTCAGGCATCGCTTGCACATGTAAACGATTTTATGCTAGCACACATCACACATAAAGATACATATCACGCCCGCATTATCGGCCATGATGAGCCCTGTATGTTAAAGTCTGGTCGCCGACTTTTTTATAAGAATGGATGCACTTATTGCCCTGTCTGTGTGCTCCCGTTCTCTGTAGATGCATATGCTCTGTAGTCATCTACAGAGCTCAGGACCACCCAGACAGGAAAATAAATGAATCCACTCTTATAACAAGTCGGCGACCAAATCTTAACCTAAAGGGTTCATCATGGCCGATTATGCGGACGTGATATGTGCCTTTATATGTGATGTGTGCTAGCTTGAAGTCGTTTACACGTGTAAGTGATGCCTGACGTGGGTGCTCGTTCCTCGTCCGTGTGCGATGCCTGTTCAATTAAAGTCGCTTGCATGTATAATTGATGGGCGATGTGTAATCCCTGTTTACTTCAACCTGTTTGCATGTTCGAATGAAGCGCGATGCGTGATGCCCATGTGCCTGAATTCGTTTGTGTTTACACGTATGTTATCGCATTCTAGCTCTTTCACAGTGTATCGTGGTAATGGCTGACAATCGCTCCTTGTTTATTCCCCTGAATGTTGGCATCGTGTAAAAACTGCGGCCTGCTGTTTCAAAAAGAAACCTGAAAAATCGAGTAGGATCATCGGCAGCGAATTTTGAATTCTGTTTTGCTGTTGTTCAGACAAAGGCATGTTGCCGAGATATCAATCCAACTTTTTCTACATTTTCCTGTTGTTGTTCTTTTTGTTCCAAGGAATAAGACTAATACTACTGTGGTCTTATCTATGTGAACAATGTTCCTCGGTCATGTATTGAGCAACGTATCTAATTTACTTCGTGCTTGTTCCTGCGCGGATCTTATACCAACTTACATCAGTTTTTGTAATACTGGTTATGCGCAAATAATGCCGATTATGCGCACTCGGGGCGCAGGGCCGGGATTCCCAACACAGTCTCCACCGAGCCCATCGGGCCCTTCGGAGCCACGAATCGGGCCTTTGATCATCTGTCCCCAGAGCCCTTGGGCGGGAGGGGGCGGGGCACGGGCCCCTGTACATGTCCTGTGTGCGCTGCTGGAGGTGCCTGAGCGGTGAATGCGACCCCTGAGCGACCAGGGTATCCTAGTAGTTTTCCAGTTCCCTTAATGTCCATGGTTTGAAGGGCAACAGAGGTCTAAGTAGTTGTAAGTTCCCTTAAATACCAGTGTACCCCTGGCGACCAGGAAGTCCCGACTGAGCGGCCAGAGGAGGTCCACGAGTTTACCACAGGGGCTTTCTGGACTGCTAGACGCTGCTACGGTATTGGCAGAAGTTGTATTTGACCATATGTTTTGCTCTCCTCATTCAGTATGGTCATTTTTTGGACTTCACAGTTCTGAAAAGAGCTCCTCCCAGGGGTTCTTGGACCCCTCGCCCTTCTCCCCTCTCCCCACTCAACAGCCAGACCTCAATAGAGTTTTAAGCCAAGACTCCATTAAGCCAAGACCTATGCATTTCCCGATTGGGACTGAGGACCTATCCGTCCCCTTTCAGATTTTCAATTGGTTACTATCAATACAACATGATACATTTGTAACCTCTCTGACTCCGAACGCCCTCTGACCGGGATCGTTGACCCTGGGTCAACGCGGGGTCACTCACCGACCCAAAAAGGTCCCAAGCGTAGCGGGTTTAATAAAAAGCACTGGGATCCCAGTTCGACGCATTTGGGCCCTACCGAAAATGGGCAGAGGTACCCTGTCCAGAGATAGTTTCTGACTGGCAGGAGGCTTTTCCATTGAGGCGCCCGTTAAGAAGGGGGGAGGGGGGAGGGGTTCCGGTCCAGCACAAGTGAGATCCCGGGATGTCCGACATGTCCGGATGTCCAGTCCTCCGGGATGTGTACGGCGTCGAACCGAGTGAAACCAAGTCAGGGGGCCTCGGGCCGACTGACCTGGCAGTGTTTCGACCGCGGACGGGCTGACCCACGGGCAGGCTTCGCGCACGTGTGGCGGGGTTTTCGTTTTCGGGCGAGGAACGGCGCGCGCGTGAATGCGTTCTTCATTTGGCGGCCGGGCTGCCTCGTCCGCCGGTCGGACTGTCGAACTGGGTAGCCTCTGGGCTGGCGTGTGTGTCCGAGCTCCGCTTCCAATCGATTGCACATTATCATTCCCATATATATATGTAGCATTCCCACATACAGTGATTGAGAGGAGCGATTGTCTGCAAACATGGCGAGCGGCGGTTTGTTTGTCGGGACGGGCTGTAATACCAATTGGGGCTTTACATCTCACCGTCTGTCATGGCTATTTCGAAGTGCGCGTATGCCTCTATTACGTATATATCAGGCATTCGGTACGTGGGATGCGGTAGTGGTGTGGCCAGGACTCCATCCCAGTATAGATAAGTCCAGAGAGGAGCACCCTAACCACTAACCACCATGCCACCATCACCCTCTGCTGCACGAACTGCATCCGTCTCGATAAACTCCAGACTGTGTTGCTGACCCCAAATTCTATACTTGGAGATTCTGAAGCGTAAAAGGAAGAAAGCGCGTGAGGATTGATGAAATGGATGGCGAATACAAGCTCACGATTCTCCACATTCAGCGATCTATCGCAAACCAGCTCAGTGGCATACACTCGGCTCCGCTGTTCAGATGGGGAATCAACAGCGCCTTTAAGGCGCGGCACGTGCGTAGTGTTTTGCGTGACGTTTGGCAGGCAGTTAAATGCATTCGCAGCCAGTTTGTTTTCTACTTCCTACTTACTTGCAACCAGGAGTGCGGCTCCCTATTCAGTTGCAGGGGTTTCACCCCTCGCCATAAGTTGGGTTGCAGCGTGCATAGTTGTGAGAAAGTGAGCCAAATTCGGAGAGAAACCAATTTGTTGGCATATTATCATGGTTCCCTTTTGTACTTCATCGCTCGTTCAACCGACTTATTTTTGGTAAGTCGCCCGTTTTCAAACGTGCCTAACTGGCAAACTAATTTGTTTGTAGGCTGGGCCATTGAGCATGCCTCACCAGAAAGTGTCCGGATTCAGCTGATAAAAAGCTCCCACCCCGTCTCTTTGTGAGTAAAGGCATATTAAAACTCAGAATAAGTCCCGTTTGCAGAAGCATGTGAAAGGGTTTGCAATTGGGGGAAGGAGGGGAACAGTCAAATAAAATCAAACAATAATAGTTGCGCTTTGCCAGGAGCTAGCGATCTGTATTGCGCCTACCTGGAGCAGACATCAAATCAGGTCAGCATTACAGACCAGTTATCAATCCTTTAAAAATGGCAGGCATCACCAACACATGCAGAAAATAACGAAACCAAATACTGCAGAAAAATGTCATCCATAGCCCACAATACCAACAGCAGGTAACCCCGACAAATGCTTCCCACGATTACGGGCAGCTACCGCA